CAAAACTTGGAGAAGTCACAAAGCCAGCTGAAGAGAACGTCGAAACCCAAATACACATCTCTTCATTTCTATCCCAGGCTTCTTTCCAGTTTACCAAGAGGGAAACAAAATTCCAAAGGAGACAAGCCCTGTCCCCCCAACTCTGCAGCATCTTGTTTACACACAGGAGCAGCCAACCCTAAATTTAGAAAACAGGAGCGCATCTCAGCCTCGGCATCAAGTTCCAAAGTGCTGAGGAGGCTATATGCTTTACCAAGCATCCTGGAGGTACCGGAAAGAAAGGTACTATTTGCAGCCTGAAACATGAATCATTTAGAGCCTGAGATCCAGTTTGGAGAGTGGCTGGGTGTCCACTCATCCATCCTCGCAAAGCACACCCCAGATCGATACTCACCTCAGAGCCAAAATCAGAAAAGCAGCCAGCTTCATTGGGCCGGCTATTACTGGGAGCTACTGAAAGTGGAAGGATACAGGGATGGCGGGTTCTGGATGGCGGCCAGCCCCCCTGGGTAATGCCCGATAACAGCACCAAGTATGCACAAAGTACTCCTGAGGTTACAATGCTTTTTCTGCCCATAATCCATGAAATCCTACCCGAGAGGGGTGAATCACACCAGCCCCATTTGCAGATGAGGAAGCTGAGGTTCAGAGAGGCTGAGGACTCACTCAGGCTCACAGCTGGTCAGTGGCACGGCCATGACAAACAGGGCATTAACTCCCCACTGGCAGCTCTTCCTGATGATGTAGGCTACTGCTGTCTTTGGGTCAGCCACAAAAGGGTGAGCAAAGACCTTCCCTGCACCTGTCCCCCACTGCCATACCCTCGGATCAGTTACGGCACTGTGACATTTCCTGCACCCAGAGTGCAGCTGCTGACGGGCAGAACATGTGTGAGGGCCCAGGGCATCCTCCTTTCTCTAGACGGATGAGCGGTGAGCTAGCTGAGAAAGGAGCCCATAGGTCAACTGGCCTCACCCTGCCCTGCTCCTCCCAACTTACCCCGTAGGGCCAGGCTTTGGAGAGAATGATCGGAAAGCACTGGGAAGGTGGTTTGGGCCAAATGCAGGAGTGCAGGGGAGAGGTTTGCGGGGAGGAATGCAGCTGTCATTATGTCTTGAGGAGCCCCCTCTGGCTGTACTGAAGAGGCTGGATTGAAGGGGACAGGACTGTAAGTGATGAGATGGAGCGGGGAGGGGAGGCTGGGACGGTCAGCCAGGCGGTGTACCTGGAAGGTGGAGGCTGCTAACAGGAGCTAAAGAAAGAGCCTGATCGGAGTTAGGGTCTGATGGTTGGTTGGAATGGGATGGAAAGGATCTGAACACTGTGCCAACCTCAGTTCCAGCAAAGGAAGAGGAGAAACCTTGTATAAAAACAAATGTATTTATTCATGGTGTATTTATTAAGCACCTACCCTATGTCAGGCCTGGAGGTTAAGACTTTAAAGTCTAGAACTAGAAGATCCTTAGAAAGCAACATCACAAAGGTGACACTGAGGCTCAGAGAGGGCTGGGGGTTGATGAAAGCTCACACAGCAAAGGGGCCTAACTGAGAGTCACATGCAGATCTCAACGCCACCCTGAGGCTCTCCTTCTCAACACATGTTTCAGGGGGACCAGACACAGATTTCTGGAGGCATTTCCAGGTCTTAGACTCAGCCCAGCAGGCACATTCTTAGCTGCTAAGAAAAGATCTGGTGTTTACAGACAGGCGCCGTCACTCTGCACCTAGGAGCAAGATGGCTTTGTCTAGACTTTTCAGAGGCTCACTCCCCCTCACACTGGATACCAGCCCTGAGAGGTTCCTGTCTCTGCTCCTCACTGGGTCTTTCTGGCCTCTGTGCTAATTCTTCTCATCCTTCCCCTGGAGCTGGCAGCACATTGTGTCTCCCCCACTGCATTCCAATAACCTCCATGGGCTTTTCTGTTGAATTGATAACTCAGGAAAGAGAATTAAAAAAAGAGAAAGAAAGAAAGAAGAAAAGAAAGAAAGAGAAAGAAGGAAAGAGGGAGGATGGGAGGAAAGAGAAAAGAAGAGAGAGGAAAGGGAGAGAGGGAGGGCAGGAAAAAGAAAAGAAGGAAGGGAAGGAAGCAAAGAAGGAGAGAAACAGGAAGGAAGGGAGGAAGAAAGGGAAGGAGGGAGGGAAGTCAGGCAGGCTGGGCTCTTTCACAACCCAGCAAAATGAGCTCAACCAGATTACCTCTTCCAGGCCATGGTTTCCAGCACCTGTCTTCAATGAGGCTGTGTTTTCTGAACCACACATTGGGCCACCTGGATGGAGGAAGGCTGTCAGGGAGGCAGGGTAACATGGTATGCCAGCTTTCTAGCTAGGTACTTCAGTGCTCTGGGTCTCTGTTCCCTCATCTGTAAAATGGAGAGAATGGCACCAGCATGTCATAGAGATCCCTGAGCAAGCCATGCAAGGAAGGGTTTGGCCTGGAGCCTGCCTGCAGTCCAGGCCTCACACTTTAGCAAATGTAGCTGGCACTGCAACGGCTGGGACCTCTGTGGGACACGCAGGCTGCACGTTGAAGTGCTGGCTGTTTCACTGATGCATGGCACCCTTTCTTACACTTTAACCTGCCAGGAAGTCACCTAAGGAAATTGTTACAATCTACAGTCTCCAGATGTTTAAATCTTCCTGGACCCAGCTCCCAGAGTGACTCAGTCGGTCTGGGATGGGGCCTGGGATGGGGCCCGGGAACCTGCACTGCTGCAAACTCTGCGTGGGTTGCTGTGGATCCCAAAGCCTGTGCTGTGAGAAGGCACAAGGTTGGTCACCAGGTCCATCCTCAGGTGATCCCACTGGTGTTGGAATCAACGTGGCCAACTCCACGTCCTTCCATGCAGAGGTAATAGGACAGGGAGCTAGGATGCAGACAGTGTCTGGAAAGGGTGTTGTGGGCACAGACTCTCCATCAAAGGGACAAAGAGGAATAACGGACATGGTTGAGTCACACCTGGGTGTCCTGCACACTTCCTACCCTGGTCAAATGGTGGGTATGGTCCTGCCTCAATTGTGAAAGCCCTAGAGACAGTCACTTCCTTTAACCCAGCTCCTCCTTAGGAGATTTGTGCTTGCTTTAGTCATTCTTCATTTGCTCACTTAGTCAACAAACACAAGCTGAGCCCCTCCTAGGGGTGCCTGGACCAACATATGTTTGGTACCTTCCATGTGCCTGGCTCTGTGTCAGCAAAAGCATCATGAGTTTCAACTTGTCACTTCTTGGAACCATCTATATATAAAGGACAAAATAATAATACATATTATAGAGCGTTATGGTGAGAATTCGAGGAGATGATGCATTTCAAGGGCTTGGGCCTGGCCTACTGAGTGTCAGGAGCGGCCACTATTCCCTATAGCATTCCCACGCTCCATCTCACCTGTCACTCTGCCTCCAATCCTCTGTATTCCAGAAGCGATAAACTTGCCTCAGGCCCTCCCTTGCTCATTCTCTTGTTTCCAGGCCTTGGCAATGCTGTTCCCTCTGCCAGGAACACTCTTTCTCCCTGCAGTCTCCCTTCACACACACTGATTCGTCCCTGAGGTCACCACTGTCACTTCTTTAGGGTAAACTCCCCAACATCACCTCCTTACTAGTAGGACCCCCTGCCATACATTCTACAGCACAGAATTTCTCAATCTCTCCACTCTGGCATTTCGGGCTGGGTAATTCTTAGCTGTGGGGCTGCCCTGTGCATTACAGGATGTTTGGCAATATCACTGGCCTCTACTCACTACATGCCACTAGTTCTCCCAAAGTTACACAACCCAAAATGCCTTCCAGACATGAACAAATGTCCTCTGGGTGGGGCAGAATTGCTCCCCTGTGGAGAACTGAGTTAGCACCTTACCCGTCTACCTGTATTCAACACCTATGTTCCCCAAGAGACTCTAAGCTCTATGAGGACAGGTGTTAGGGCTGCCTCATTCACTAACAAATCTCTGGCGTGGAATCACTTCCAGGCGAAGAAAGCATTCAACAAATCATTGTTGGATAGACAGCTGGGTGAATGACTGGAAGAACTGATTTGTCCAGTCACAATGCTGGCAAATGGTGCGGCTAGACCTGGAACCTGAATCTTTGCCTGCAGAGCCCGTACCCTACCATGCAGGGCTTTTCATCCCAGATGACCCTCTCCAGACCTTAGTCATAACAACAGCTCAAGCTCACTGAGACACCACTGGAGGCTGGGCTCTGGGCTAAGCCCATCTCATGGCTTATTGGGCTAAATTCTCAACAGAATTCTACGGGGTAGGTGATGCTTTAATCTCCATTGCAGAGAAGTGAAGTAATTCTATCGAGTCTTGCAGCTAGGGAGAGTCAGTGCTGGGGGTTCCCTGCGGGAGGCTGCTCAGAGTCTGCATCAGACAAGGTCTATGGAGGTCAGGGCCAGTGTCCACCTAGCCCTGACCATGGCCAGGCAAGGGGTCCTGGAGTGCACTCATCAAAATTGCAGGTGTTGAGTAGAAAAATCAAAGCCCACCACAGTAGACAGAAACAAAACTCACCTGTCTTGACCCTGCTACTAGATGACAAGAACATGAAATATCCCTTAGGAATTTGTGTTACTTACACGGTCCAAAAGCCTTAAGTGAAAAATTAAATGTAACATCATCCAGGTTTGGTACCACCCCCAGCAAAGAGAAGAAGCAAAAAGAAATTTGTTCTGGAAAAATTCAACTTAAATTCAGACTTCAAGGAATTAGCAAAAATAAATGTTCTGAAGAAAATTAAAACCTCAGAGTTAAATATTAAAATATATATCAGAAACAAAACACCATAAGTAAGAACCAGGAAAACTAACAGGCTACAGAAACAGAACACAAAACGAGATCAAGTATTGGAATTATCAGGAACAGAATAGAAAATACTTACATTTATGGAAAGAAAAGAAGCAGAGTGAAAGCAGAGATGAAAACAGCCCACTAGAACTTGTAGAAGAAAAAATATAATATGAATTTCAAAAACGTTTTATTTAAAATAATTACAGATCACAGGAAGTTGCAAAGCTAGGATAAAGAGGCCCTGTGCACCCTTCACCCAGTTTCATCCAACGTTACATCCTATAGAACTAAAAAAATGGCAGATAATGCTGCATTAGGAATTGCTAATCCTCTGGGAGAAAAGAAGAGAGCTGTCAGTGTGCCTCGGACTAATGGGAAAGCATGATCCTGCAAAACAAAACAAAACAAAAATGTACAAAATTCTTGGAGCTGGAAAAGCAATAATTGTAACACTGGTAGGTGGAAAAGCAATGCCAGTGTGTGAATGAGCCCCAGCACAGAAGAAAAAGACCCGGGGGGGTCCCAGAGGCACATAGGTTGAGATAACCATACAGTGTTGGTATTGTTGCTGTCCCTAAGTGGTTCTCCTTTCTTTATCCTTTCCCTGAGCAGGACTAAATTTTATCTCCCTCCAAGTCATGCAAAGCTCCTGGTTTTACAGACCTGCTTTGCTCCCTTATGCCTCCAGGCCAAGTCTAAACATACCCTTTCAAACAAACACACCGCTGGCAACCTCCACCAGCTTAATTCCTCAAATTACTATGTAGACTGTCTTGATACAGCCAAAGTGGTTTCCTGCAGGTCCCTTAGACTTGCTGTGACAGATTGTATTTTCCAAAGAGGAACGCAATAATCTTACCCATTCTGCATGCTCTTCTTATAATGTGACTTTGACTTTCCTTTCATTGAGAGGTAGAGTTTACACGCCCTCCTCTTCAAACTAGACAGGATTTTCTGACTATTTTGACCAACAGAGTTCAGTAGACATGACATTACAATTGACCCTTCAACAACACAGGTTTGAATTGCAATGGGTCCCCTTATACCAAGGTTTTCTTCTGCCTCTGTTATCCCTAGGACAGCAAGACCAATCCTTCCTCTTCCCCCTCCTCCTCAGCCTACTCAGTGTGAAGATGATGACAATAAATCATCAGCTTTATGATGACCCACTTCCACTTAATGAATAGTAAATATATTTTTTCTTCCTGACGATTTTTTTTTTTGAGAGGGAGTCTCACTCTGTTGCCCAGGCTAGAGTACAGTGGCATAATCTTGGTTCACTGCAACTCCACCTCTTAGGTTCAATCAATTCTTCTGCCTCAGTCTCCTGAGTAGCTGAGATTACAGACACCCACCACCACTCCTGGCTAATCCTGATGGTTTTCTTAATTACATTTTTTTCTCTAGCTTACTTTATTTTAAAACTATAGTATATAATACATATAACATATAAAATATGTGTTAATCAACTGTTTGTGTTATTGATAAGGCTTCTGGTCAACAGTAGGCTATCTGTAGTTAAGTTTTGGAGGAGTCAAAAGTTATGCATGGTTTTTTGACTGTGCAAGGGGTTGGTGGCCATGTCGTTTAAGGGCCAACTGTATTTGACTTCTAAGGCTAGATCACAAAAGGCAATGCAGCTTCCAACTGAGTCTCTTCGGATGTTTACATTTGGAGCTCTAAGCCACTATGTAAGGCAGCTGACTGTTCTGAGGCCACCATGCTGTGAGGAAGCCCAACTACCCCATGCAGCGATCACATGGGGAGGTCCTGAGTCTGCATGAGGACAGAGATGCTCAGCTACAGACTCACTGCAACCTAGGGGAGATGCCAAACAAGAATCATGTAGCAGAGCCCTCTCTGATTTCCTGATCCACAGAAACCATGAGAGAGAATAACATCATTGTTATTTTAAGCCACTAAATTCTGGGGTGATTTATTTTGTAGTAACAGGTAATCAGAACACTTGTCATGCCTGTTTTCACTTCCACACCTTTTCTCGCCCAATCATTCCTGCTTGATATCCTCTTTCCTTTCCTCCTTTTGGTAACCTCCTCTTCACTGGGATGGGGGTATGGGCTAGGGAGACCTCAGTGGAGCTGGCATTTGCCTCCAACCCTGAAACTTGCTTGGAGCTGGGCCCACTAACAACACTTGGGAGAACACAGGGACTGAGTCTCTGGAGCCCAGGACTGAGCAACTAGCAGTGCGTGGGAAGATAGAAAGAGAGGGGTTATGGCTGGGTGATGTGGCTCAAGCCTGTAATCCCAGCACTTTAGGAGGCCAAGGCGGGTGGATCATGAGGTCAAGAAATTGAGACCATCCTGGTCAACATGGTGAAACCCCGTCTCTACTAAAAATATAAAAAATTAGCTGGGCATGGTGGCGTGTGCCTGTAATCCCAGCTACTCAGGAGGCTGAGGCAGGAGAATTGCCTGAACTCAGGAGGCGAAGGTTGCAGTGAGCCGAGATTGAGCCATTGCACTCCAGCCTGGGTAACAAGAGCGAAACTCTGTCTCAAAAAAAAAAAAAAAAAAAAAAAAAGAGAGAGGGGTTATAAGTAAATCAGGCCTTGGCTCAAGAACAAAGCTGAAGCCCAGTTCTCAGAAGGAAACCTACAATCAGTGTGAATGCAGCAAGATGGTCAACTTGAGGGTTTATCCTCTCCTGGTGGCAGGAACTATGGGGTGGTGATGATCTGATCTCTATACATTGCTGCATGTGTTCAGCATTTTATATAGTCTCATTTAAGCCTCACAATAACCTTTTGATTTAGGTACTGTAACTATTTCCATTTTATAAATGAGGAAACAGAGGCCTAGAAAGAGGAGCAACCTGCCCAAAGTCTCACAGTTAGGGGCAGACATGAGATTTGAACTCCGGCTTGTCAGAATCCAGATTCTCAGTCCCAGAAACAAAAGCGAGTATCAGAGGGTGGGTTAAGAGATTCCAGGCCTGATCCTTGGAAGTCTTCTGCAGCAGAGAATTCCAAGTGTGCCTTGATTTGCATTACCAGCATTTTGGTTCACAAGAAGAAGTCCATCTCCTCTTTGATAAAAAAGGAAAATAACAAGGTAAGAATACATGCACCACTAGATATCAAGATATATCATAAACGTGCAATAACTAAGACAGTGTGATTCTCTTAGTCCATTTGGGCTGTTATAACAAAAATACCATAGACTGGGCAGCCTAAACAACAAACATTTATTTTTCACAGTTCTGGAGGCTGGGGAGTCCAAAATAAGGCACTAGCAGATTCAGTGTCTGGGGGAGGCCAACATTCAGATTCATAGACAATGTCTTCTCACTGTGTCCTCCCACAGCAGAAAGTGTGAGAAAGCTCTCTGAGGTCTCTCTCATAAGGTTACCATTCAGGAGGGCACCACCCTCATGACCTAATCAGCCCCCAAAGGCTACACATCCTAATATCATCATATTGTGGGATGGGATTTCAATGTGTAAATTTGGGGGGGACACAAGCATTCAGCCCACAATAGTGATATTAAAACAAAGATGAGCAAAAATGCCAGTGGAATGAAACAGAGCTCAATAAATCGAGCTGGATCAACTGAATAATCACACAGGAAAAAATAAGTCCAGACCCCTACCTCACATCACATGCAAAAATCAATGCTAGATGGACTTTAGATCTAAATGTGAAAAATTAGCGAAAGCAGTTGTTACTCAGAATAGCCCCAAACTGGCAACAACCTAATTTTTTATCAACAGTTGAACAGATCAATAAATTGTTGTACACTCTCACAACAATAACAAAGGACAAATTATTACTGCATGCAACAACATGAATGAATTTCACAATTATAATGTTGAATGAAAGAGGTCAAATACAAAAAGGCATATACTGTATAATTCTATTTCTATAAAGTTCAAACAGGCAAATCTAACTGACATTGTTAGATGTTAGCATATGGTTATTTTGGGGGAAGAAGGTAGTGGTAATGAATAGCAGGGGCACAAAGGGAAGTTTCTAGGATGCTGGCAAGGCTCTAATTATTGAACTTGGTGGTAGTCACAGAGGTATGTTCACTGTGATAATTCATCAAGTAATTCACTTATCATTTGTGCACTTTTCTATTGTTTATTGCAATAAAATAATTTATTTAAAAGAGTAACAGATGAGAAATTATCCATGACAAATTGATGAAGGATAATAGCTTTAAATATAAAGAGCAGATAAAAATTGTTAAGAAACACTAAGACATCCCCACTAGAAAAATGAGCAAAGGCTATGTGAACAAAAGAGGCATTATAAATGGCTTGTGAATACTTGAAAAAAAAACTTAAAACTTGACAGTAATAAAATATGTTAGAAATTTAAAACAATGAGAAACCAGTTTTACCAAGCAAATTGATAAATATTTAATAACAAATAATAGGGACATTTTCTTTTGGCCACAGTGGAGTAACAGTGACCAGATTCTCTCTCTCTTTTTCTCTCTTTGTCTCCCAATCTCTCCCCCCTCTTTCTCTAACACACACACACACACACACACACACACACACACACACACACACCACCTTAAAAAAGAAAAAGGTAAGATTATATAAAACAATGGTTTCCAGTTATTGGACAACAAGAGCACCATACAGTGGTCCCTGAAAGGAGAGAAACCAAGGAAGAGAGCTCTGTGATGTCCCATCTTACTTTGTTTTTGATGAGAGTTTTTTAAGGCCACAGAACAGGGAGAAGGAGCCTGAAGAGAGAATGGTTGTCTTTTTGAGTTGAGGAGGAAGAATTGAGAATTTGTGGAGGCTAGAATTATCAGAGCAGAGTACCAGAGAGTAGAATGCTGCGGAGTACTGAAGAGCTATCAAAGGTTCCCTTCAAATCTTAAGCTGAGTACTAATCAGCACATGTACAGAAACTACCCAAGGCTTAGGAAGGAACCACTGAAAAGGCGTGGAGAGAACAATCACCATAACCCACACAGAGCCTATAATGGTTTTTATCCCCACTAGCCAGAGTGGGAAGACATTCTAATACACACAGCATTAATTAGACTGCTCAGAAGGCTTTTTCCTCATTAGTGGGGCCAAATTAGGTCTAGACCAAAAGATGTTCTGTTCCCACATAACAAAGCTTAAAAGCAAGTCTCAAAAGTATGAAACTGTTCTCTAGTAATTTAATTGCTGCTCAGAACAAAGTTCAAAAATATTTAAAGAACATTAACAAAATCTATCACCCAATATAAAATTCACAATACATTTAAAAATATTATCAGGCATGCAAAGAAACAGAAAAATCTGACCCATAATGAGCACGAAGCTCATTCAATTGGAATGGTTCCAGAAATGACACAGATGATAAAATTGATAGAATGACATTAAAGTAGCTATTAAACAAATCCTCTTTACATTCAAGAAGACAAAGAAAAGCATAGGCATGTAAAAGAGAGATATATAATATATAAACAAGGCCCAAATCAAACAACTAGAGATTAAAAGTAGAATGGCTGGGACATTAATAAGATTAGCAGTAAGTTAGATCTGGCAGAAGAACATCCCAGTGAATTTTATGAACAGCAATGAAACTATCCAGAATAAAATACAGGGAGAAAAAGAATGGGGGAGGAGAAATTACCCATTAGCTGTGGAACAAGGCACCTAATACTTATATGGAGCCCCCAAAGGAGAGGAAAAAAGAAGAATTGAAAGATACTGAAAAACTATCCAAAGAAATAATGGCCAAACCTTTAATGAAAACTATTAATCCACAGACCCAGAAACCTCAACTAAGCTTTGGCATAAAGAAACAGAAAGTGACACTTAAATCAAACTGCTTAAAACTAATGATAAAGAGAAAATCTTAAAAGCAGTCAGAGAAAAAGCATAGGTTACATACAGAGAATCAAGGAAAAGAAAAGAATAACTGAAGACTTTTCACTGTGAACAATGAATGCCAGAAGAAAGTAGAACATTTTTAAAGGACTGAGAGAAAAAAACTGTCAACCTAGAATTCTATATATAGTAAAAAAATCTTTCAAAGATTAAAGTTGAATAAACAAGTGTTGGTGAACATATGGAGAAATGGGAACCCCAATATATTGCTAGGGAGCTTGTAGATGCCATTGATATGGAAAACAATCTGGCATTCTTCAAAAGGGTAAACATAGCTTCCATATGATTTAGAAACTCTATCCCTAGGTGGAAGGGAACCCAAGAGAATTGAAAATATGTTTTCACATAAATACTTGTATATGAATGTTCATAACGGCATTATTTACAACAGCCAAAGGCTGAAAACAACCCAAATCTTTGTTCAGTGATGAATGTATAAACAAAATGTGGTATATCCATTGCTGTGGTTTGAATGTGTCTCCCAAAGTTCACATGCTAGAAACTCAATCCCTAATGCAACAGTGGTTAAGAGGTGGAGCCTAATAAGAAGTGATTAGGTCCTGAGGGCTCATGAATAGATTAATGTCAGTATCAAAGGAGTAGGTTAGTTATCTTGAGAATGGGTTTCTCATAAAAGTGAGTCTGGCCCCCTTGTTATCTTGCCCTCAGGCTCTCTTGCCCTTCTGCCTTCTCCCATGGGGTGACGCACCATGAAGGTGCTCACAAGATGCTGGTGCCATGCTCCTGGATTTCCCAGCCTCCAGAACCATAAGCCAAATAACTTCTATTGTTTGTAAATTACCCAGTCTCAGGTATTCTGTTATAGAAACATGAAATGGACTAATGGACTAAGACAATTGTACAACAGAATATTATTCAGGCTTAAAAAGGAATTAAGTACTAATATAAGCTACAACATGGTTGAGCTTCAAAAACATGCTAAATGAAAAAAGTCACATGCCAAAGGTCACACAACGTGTGATTCTAAATACAGGAAGTGTCAAGAATAAGCAAATTTGTGGAGACAGAAAGTAGATTAGTGGTTGCCTGAGGCTGTGGGGATGAATGGAATGAGGAGTGACTACAAACGGGTACAGGCCTTCTTTGGGGTGATAAAGATGTTCTAAAGTTCAATAGTGGTGACAGTGGAATTGCATACTGAATTATACAATTTAAAAGGATAAATTTTATAATATGCAAGTTATATCTCAATTAAGCTGGTTTTTTAAAAAGAAAGGTGAAATAAAGACTTTTTCAGGCATTTAAAAGTGGAAAGTCTCCACCACAAATAGACCAACACTTCAAAAAATATTGAAGAAATTTCTTTACACAGAAGAAAAATTATAATTAATGGAAAATATGGATATATACAACAGAATAAGGAGCACTGGAAATGATCAACATATGAGTTAATAAAAATATGCTTTAAAATATTTTAAAAATATAATTAACTATTTAAAGCAATAATAATAATATATTGTATGGTTTATATACAAGCAGAGGTAAAATGAGTGGCAGTAATAGGACAAAAGCCAAGCAAGGTAAAATGAAGTATTCTGTTGTAGGGTCCTTCTATTCCATAATATAATTATTACATTGTCAGAATTGTACTTGAATATAGACTGTGATAAATTCAAAGTTGTAAGTTGTAAGCTCTAAGGCAATCACTAAGAAATTGAGTATATAATAAGCTAACAAGGGAGATAAAATGGAAGCATAAAAACAATCTCAAAAAGGCAGAAACAAAGAGAGGGAAATAAAGACTAGATAGGACAAACAGCAAATGGTGAGACGGTAGAATTACACTAAATTATACCAATATTCACGTTAAAATAAATGGTGCTTATACTCTAGTTAAAAGGCAGGTATCAGACTCGGTAAAAAAGCAAGACTCAACTACATGCTGTCTACAATAAACTCACTTTGAATATAAAGATACAAATTAGGTTTCAAAGGAAAGGATAATTAATCTAAAGAAACCAGGAGTAGCTTTATTAATGTATCCTTCAGTGAAGCAAGAGTCTTTGGGACAAGCTGGCTAAAACGTGGATTCTGGGTTCTACCTGGGGATGGGCCTAGCCCACAGGATGGAGAGTTGTGGGTCCTGAATGCTAGGCTAAGGAGCTGGCCTGGATGTGGATAGACAATAGTTTCACTGGAGGGCTTGGGGTACAGTCTGTGGAGTGCCTGGAGTGGGCTGCAGCCTGGAGACAGCTGCAGGGAGGGTTTCAGGTATGGGCTGATGGAGCCTGGGACCACTGCAGGGTCAGTAAGAGGTGCAGTGATGGGTTTGAGAGGACACAGAGGTAAAACTGAATGGCAGTAATGCCAAGAACAGAGGGGAAGGAGGAGAGAATTTTAGCCAGAGCCTCCATCACCCCATACTTGAAACCCTCCCTGGGGCTCTGTCTCCGCTCTGCAGCCCACTCCAGGCACTCTACAGGCTACACCACAAGCCCTGCAGTGAATCTACTGTCTGTCCACGTCCGTGCCAGCTCCTTAGCCCAGCATCAAGACCAGAGGGATCAGGTGACAGGGCTATGCATAAAAATGGGAAAATGAGGAGGAGGGATTGGTGTGTGGGCAGAGCCACATTGCCTGCTGTTATCCCAGCACTTTGGAAGGCTGAGGTGGGAAGACCGCTTGAGGACAGGAGTTCAAGACCAGTCTGGGCAACAAAGTAAAACCCTGTCTCTACAAAAAATAAAATACAATTTAAAAAGTCAGCCAGTTGTGGTTGGATGTGCTGTAGTCCTAGCCATTTGGGGAGGCTGAGGCAGGAAGATTACTTGAGCCCAGGAGTTAGAGGCTGCAGTGAACTATGATTGTGCCACTGCACTCCAGCCTGGGGCAACACAGTGAGACCCTGACTCTAAACAAAAGAAGGAGGAGGAGGAGGAGGAGAAGGAGGAATGATGGCATCAGAAAGTCACCATTTGGCAACCATGTTCATAATAACTTGATTTAGGCAAAAATCACCAAAGAATGCTACAACTAAAGTTTGATGATGAATGACATCATTTCAAAGTACCTCCCCAAGAAAATACTTATTAGTGACAAAGGGGAATAGAACTAAGGAAAAACTGGCAGACACCACCTTAATAAAGCAATTGACATTCATGCGCCAGTAATGCAGCAAAGAGAAATTGTGTGCTACCTACGAGGATGCAATGAGAACACAGCATCTTTTCTGTAATATTCCTTCTGAAAACGGGCAACCTGAACCCAATAAGAAAGAAACAGCAGCCAAACTGGAGCCATGGGACCTCCTACAACATATGTAGCCCAAAATCTTCAAGAGCATCAAGGTTGTGCACGTACGTCTGTAAGACTGAGGAGCTGTTCCAGGACAGGGAGACGTGACTTGCAGAGCTCGCCGCCGCTGTTGTAAGCTGATTGTCATTGTTGGCAAGTTGCTCCTCCTGGAATCCACCACTTAGGCCTAAGGGGAGGATTCTTAGTGTCCTAGAAGAACCGAGTCCCTTCTCCTTAACTGTCAGGTCCGCATTACCTGAGGCATTCGGAACCCTTCAGCCTTCCTGTGCCAGCTTTTCAGTGATGGCGCCCCCTGGTGTCCAAGGAAAGAGGCGCAACTCCCCTAAGAGCAGATCTCGGGGGAAAGAGAAGCCTTTCTGCCCGCCAGGTTCCCAAATGTATTCCTCCTTGGACCAGCCAGCCCACTTACCTCCATTTATTTAGGCGTTTGTTCTGCATTTTAGTCATTCATCTGTTTGTTCATTCAAGCATCCACTGCGTTCCAGGTACTGAGCTTGACCCTGGAAGAGTTAAAGATAGGTCATGCCCAGGCTTTAGCATCAAGGAGCCCTCAGGCTGATGGAGGCACAAGCTCTCACATCACAGCAGGATCTCTGCCTCCTGAAGGTAAGTGCAAGGGACTCTGGGAGCACCCAAAATGATCTAGGAAAGCTTTCAGGAGGAGGTGACCACAATTCAGCTCCTTTTTGTTCCCTACTGCCACTGGCCTGTTCTCTAAAGCCCTGCCCCTCTGTCCTCATGGCTGGAGCATCACCACCCTCCCTTCCAGGGCTTCCACTCAGTCTAGACCTGGCAGAAAGAGGGCTATCCTCCCAGGGCCCTATACTTGGCCACAGAGGCAGGCGTAGGCACAAGCAGCTCCCAGGCACAGCTTCCCCTGCTGGTAATAGCATTGATGACAATGATCTGGATAAGGATATGGACATGGATATTAATAAAAGAAGCTGCCATTTAATGAGGGCTTAATTTGTTCTAGGCACTGTGCTGAGAATTGTACATGACACCATCTAATCCCCACCGCTGCCCACAGACATTGGGTACTGGGATTATACCCATTTTACAGTGGAGGAAACTAAAGCTCAGTGAAGTTAAGAAGGGAACCTCACCAGTCATCTTCCAGTCACTGAGTCTTCAGTTTCTCACAGTCCACACCTGTGCTCCCCATCTTCCCTGCTCTTCACTGTAGAAGACCCCCACTCCTGTCAAGGGTCAGCTCTGGACCCATCACTACATGTTCTAGAGAACTTGATTACATAAATACTTTCTAATGCTAAAGTATTGTAGGAAACCTCTCCTCCCTTCAGAGGAGACTGCTGTCCTTGTGGGGCTGGGACTTCCCCAAACCACAAAGCTACTACACGGCAGAGTCTGGATATGAATAGGGGTCAGTGACATTTCCACTTCTCCATTCCCAAGGGCATCATCCTCAGTGGATGCTCAATGAATATCTGTTGCTTGCAGAAAACTGCTTCCTATTTAACACCTGATATTAGTCTAAAACAATCCGAACTTTTATTTCCAATGCTCAAGCTCGTTTTATGATATACAGCTAGAATTCTCATGCAATGACATGTGGGAGATGGAACTGGCCATTGTGGGACCATGTGTACATGTTCCGGTGCCCTCTATGCACCAAACGTGGTTATATTCATTGCATCATCACTTCCTCATGGCAGCTCTTCAGTGGAGTCCATTTGACAGATGAAGTGGAGTCCCAGAGAGCTGAGAACTTTGAATACTCTGGACACACTCAGAGCTACTCTCCAGGTCTGAAACCCTTTACCATTCCACTAACACACCAAGCCCATTTCCCTCTCCAGGCCTTTGCATTGGTTGTTCCCTCTGTGCCTGCATGCTCTTCTCCCACGGTCTTCTCTCGGCTGACTACTCCTCATCATTCAACTCTCTGCTCAGTGTCACCTCCTCTGGCCACCCTACTGACCCATGTCACTTGCTATCTCACTACCCTGTCCAGCACTGGCTGTGCTCTTAGATCCTCACTCAACTGTGAGCTTGCTTGTCCACTGAATTTATATCCTGCATGTATGAGATGACTCTGTCATCTGTGTCCCTAGCATCCAGAACAGTGCCAGACATATCGGAGGTGCTCAGTGAATGTATGTTGAATGAACAGAATCATCTGCCAGTCCTGTCCACTTGATCTCTGATGGCCTTCTGATGCAGCAGGAATATGGCCCCTACTGCTGCCACGCTGCTGTGATCCCAGTCCCTGGGGACTCTGCTGGTGTCCAAGCCATCTGATAGAGCTGTCTTTCTAACCAACACTTCTGTCCATGCCAGTCTCCTCCTCAAAAATATCATCATCGGCCGGGTGCGGTGGCTCATGCCTATAATCCCAGCACTTCGGGAGGCCAAGGCGGGTGGATCACGAGGTCAAGAGATCGAGACCATCCTGGTCAACATGGTGAAACCCCGTCTCTACTAAAAATACAAAAAATTAGCTGGGCGTGGTGGCGCATGGCTGTAATCCCAGCTACTCAGGAGGCTGAGGCAGGAGAATTGCCTGAACCCAGGAGGCGGAGGTTGCGGTGAGCCGAGATCGCGCCATTGCATTCCAGCCTGGGTAACAAGAGCGAAACTCCATCTCAAAAAAAAAAAAAAAAAATTAGCTGGGCATGGTGGTGCACGCCTGTAGTCCCAGCTACTTGGGAGGCTGAGGCAGGAGAATTGCTTGAACCCAGAAGGCAGAGGTTGCGGTGAGCTGAGATCGTGCCATTGCACTCCACTCTGGGTAACAACAGCGAAACTCTGTCTCAAAAAAAAAAAAAATCATCATCACCATCAATCTGTCACTTGATGGAGACTGTGAAGCTGTCATTACTGCAATATTAAAAGTTCCCCAGTATCTCAAGGTTTTTTTCTCCAGTTTAGAGATGGGGGAGCTTAGAAAGGCTGAGGAACTTGCACAGGCCCACACAGCTACTGAGTAGCTAAACTGAGATTTGAACTCACGTCAGTGTGATCCCAAGTCCCTACTCTTGGCTGCTGTCTCCTACCATACAGCATAGCTTTCATGTGCATCAAACTTAAGCGTGTGTCAGAATCACCTGGAGAGCTTGTTAATATGCAGGTTACTGGGTAGCACTCCCAGAGTTTCTGATTTCGCTTGTCTAGGGTACAGCCTGAGAATATGCATTTCCAACAGGTTCCCAGGTGAGTTGACCACTGGCCTCACACTGAGAGAACCACTGGCCTAGAAAAAATGCACAGAAATCCAAACAAATAGACCTGTGTCTGCAGTTTCAGGAGGTTCATGGATCCCCTGCAGCCTCTTCATGCGCTTCAGGACTAGGGGAGGATCTATGGACCTCACCTTCAGAACCATCGATTGTTCCAAACAACGTAAGTCAGATCCATGACATCTGAGGCCCTGAGTTCTGTTTAGCAAGTCTCCATTAAGCAAGGGCCACCTGAGTCTCAGTCTTAGTCCCTTTGCAGATCTGACTCTTCCTTAATAAAGTTAATTATGTGACCTTGAAACGTACTCCAGCTGACACACCACGGAAAGGCTTCCACTTGCCTTAGCGACACAAATGATAAATAGAGGGCCCAGAGCAATTTCTCTCAGAGATTTCGTGTCAGTATTTTAATAATCATTGAGCAGGGCACTGGGAGCCAATTACAAAACTAGGACAGATTTTTTTCTAAAACTTCTTGGTTTCCAATGCCTAAAACTTGTAGGTAAAACTGATGGGTCCGAAGGGTTCTGACATAGTTTCCCCCATGTAGGAGTCAGGCATAGAATTGGAAATATATGCACGACTCCAGAAAAGCTGAAGCTGTGATGTTTCCCTCCTCTTCCTCCCTCTCCTTCTTCTCACTCTCCTCCTCCCATCTTCCTCCTCCTCTTCCCTCACGCTTCACCAGTCTCCTTACTAAAACTGATTTGCCCTGGGACTGGAGCCCGGGGGTAGGAAGCCTGCCTGATTGTCAGCTGTGGGCACTGGGAGCCTTCAGCCTTCATCTTTTCTCTCCTTGCTCGGCCAGTGTTTGGGGAAGCTACACAGACTGCCTGGGCCGAAGGTGGCCTAGGGTGCCTGGGGCCAGGGTTCGGGGAAGCTCTTGGGATGGGAAGTGACCAGCCAGGCCTCCCAGGGCAGTCTCTGGGTCCAAGACCCTTGGGAACCTTGGCTGGTTTTCCCTCCCGCCCTGGTGAGTTCCCGATTCCAGGCCTACATGTGGCAAAGGCCCAAGTCCTGCTAAAATTGGATCATCCTCCCACGACCCCCATGGCGACTCCAGCACAGGCTAGCAGCAGGCACTCAGTCAATATGTGGCTTCAAAAATGTAACTATGATCGTCTTGCAACCACTCTTCAATCACTGACTCCCATCACACCTGGACTAAAACCAAGCCTCCTTTGCAGGGCAGCCCCAGCCAACCCTGCCGACCCCATCTGTCCCCATTCTCTCCCTTGCTCCACCTTCGTGGCCACACTGGCCTCCTTGCTGGCTGGTCCTCAGGAACTCCAGGCATGGTCCTATCTTAGGGTCTTTGCACTGCAGTGCCCTCCTCCCCAGACATCTGCGTGGTTTTCCCATCTGATTCAGGTCTCTGCTCAAACATTGCCTTCCTAGACACCCCCAGCTAAAACGGCGCTTCCCACCCACTCTCCATGTGCTGCTCTTTTTCTTCACAGTGCCAGTCAATCCCTTCATATTCTGTGCTAAGTGTGCATATATTTATTATTTATTATGTCTGTCTCGAAAGAAGGTAAAGATCATGAAGCCAGGGGCCAGGTCTGCTCTTTGTCTACCATTGTATCCACAGGGCTGTGCTCAGAGGAAATAATAAGTATTGAATGAATGAATGAATGAATGAGCGAGTTAATGAATGCTTCCATTGATGGAAGAGTTGATGTGAGCTAGCAGGGTGCTTTTTGCATTGATCCTCTCACCCATCCTGCAAGGTGGGTATTATCAGTTCTCCTTGGGACGTGATGATGGCTCAGCTGAGAAAGAAGGCTGACCTACCCAAGGTCACACAGCGGTGAGGGGGGCCTAGGCCAGGGACTCAAGTCTGTGTCACTGCATGCCTGTGGATGGGTGGTTACCTGCTGGCAGTGCAGGCAAGGCTTACTGCATGTGAGGACTGGAAGGACCAGTCCCATGGTGATGGAGTACAGGTAGAAGGTGAGAGCTTGGTCAGGCGGCAACATGGTTGGCTATTGCAAGGAGCCTGGAGATTCCCCTAGAGGAAGACTGAGGCTGGGGCAGGGCCCTAGGCAGACCTCAGGGCAGTCCCCAGAGTGAAGACTGTCTGAAGACTAGGGCTGGTCAGGGTGGGCTGGTCCCAGACCTTTACCATCCCCAAACCCAACACACACTGACTTCTGGAGCTGCCATGGCCCCACCCTGCCAGGATGGGCTTGTTGGGCAGGACTGGTGCAAGAGGTGAGGTGGAGACAGGGGCCAGGGCTGGGGGTCATGGACTCCACTAGTGGACTGTAAGCTTCTGGCTGGGGCAACAGAGGAGGTGG